ATTTTTTAATTTTTTTAAAATTTATTTTATTTTTTGGATTGGGCAGATTTTTGTGTGATGGGGCGGTTTTTAACAGAATACTGGGCTGGAAAACTTCGACTCTATCTGGCAACACTGCTCAAGGATGACACGCATGATCGTGAAGCATTCCTCATTTTTACTTTTTGGTAGCACAAAATACATCACATTAATACATTAAGGTTCCACCCAGCATTTCAGTATACACCAGGATTACCAGATTAAAGCTGGAACATGCAAGGGAGAAAACAAATAAAAATAAATACATAAAATGTATGCCATAAAAGTCCAATGACGCTGTTTCCGGGAAATGGAACAAGTGAGGCTTCTAATTGGACGGAGCCAGAGATGGGAGTCCGCAACGCTGATTGGCTCCACTATTGGAACACTTGGCACTAATGGAACAGAGAAGAACACTGGTTGGGAATACTTAGGTCCTCAACCACAGTTCCGGGGACCAGTACTTGTTCGTGAGTCAATTGGTACTGGGACGCAAAATCACTGGATTCTCTCCACCGCATCTGTCAATGTCTCACTCTTGATGCAGGTCAACATACACAAGTGGTAAGTTTCAGTTTCTGTTAGACACATGCGCAGATCGGTTCTACATTGCCCGTGCAGGTGGCATAATTCAGCTGCGTGGTCTCTGGAGCAGACAGGACAGGAGGAGGTGCGCGGTCGTATCCGTGCATTTGAAGGATTACACTGCATATTTTTCAACCCGCCTAACAAAGAGTGACTGTAAAACTATATCTAAATAAAACTATAATTTTAAACAAAGCTTCCTTCACATCCCAGATATTCCTTTGCATTTCCAGTTCTGCTCTAAAAAAAAAAACTCCATCCCTAAAAGTTAGAAGTCATGGGCAATTTTATGAAAAAACACAAAAATATAATTAAAGTTTGCACTAAGCATAAGTTCCTGTGCTTTTGTGAACAATCATGTGTGAATCACTGCGGAGCAGGGAGGAGGGTGATGAGGCGCACCTCGGTGTGTGGGATATACTAACTAAACAAGATGAGAAATAATCCTGCACTTAATACACTTATAAATCACACATAAAGCATTTAAAATTAAATTAAAAATATGAGCTGGCTTCAGTGGTAATTTTAGCCTCTTTTAGGGGGTGCTCAAGTGCCCTTAAATTTTAACTCAGCACCCTTGAAAAATAAAAAAACCATCATAAGACTGTGTAATGAAACAGTTCTCAAAACTTAGATTCACCAAATTATTGAACAAATATTGAATAAATATGGAATAAATTATGACAATGTTAAAATGGGCCATTAAAATCTTTTTCTTTTTGCAGTACAGTAGTCAGATTCTTGACCCACCTGTCAATCAATCCAGCATATCAGCAATTGACCAATCAGCGGCCTCAATTTGTCCTGAAGTGAACGCCCCTTACCTGCAGAGCTGCAGCTTTGCAGTCATTTCAACAATGAGTTTACATCTCTTGTTTCATGTTAATCTACTGTAATAAACCTTTATAAAATACACCAGATCGCAGGAAATGGCATCTACTTTATTCAAAATTCTCTGGGGGAGGAACCCCAAACACCACCTGCAATGCACCCCCCGTCCCAGTCTGTGAAAATATTGTTTGACATTAAACAGATCCATGGCACAAATAATGTTGGGGACCACTGTTCTAAGGAACTTGTATCACTTTAACTCCTTTGTGGAACAGAACCACGTGGATGAACCTTTGACATCATCGAGTCTTTGGCCAGTACACTCGTGCATTTCTTTAAAGTCTTAAAAATCTTTCCTCCACCTAATTACGTTCACACCGTCAGAGAGTGCAAAATATCAAAGGTGATTTGAGAGCACGGGCTCACTCGCTTGCAAGAAGAAAAAAAGCTGTCAAACAAGTCAGCTCATGAACGTTACTTTAACAAATCAAGTGAACATTCAGTGAAAAACACCTGAATGGTCAGGACTGCTTAAACGTTTGCAGTTCTTCACACTGTGAGGTCTTTTGTACTTTCAGAAAACATCTGGAGGAAAAAAAGTGAACTTTATGTGTTCAGCCAAACACTTAGGAAGTGTAGTCAGAATAATTTTTTGTCTTTCATTTGTTAAACGTTATCTTTTATATTCAACTGTTATAGCAGAAAAACAATAGTTTTAATGCTATATGTAATAATTGTTTTAATATGTTTTAATACTGCTTATGACTAAATGAAAAAAAGGAATAGTAAGTTTGCTTTCATTGTTTGGCACTGGCTCACTATCGGAGGTCCTTTTTATTTTTTTCAGAGAATTATCTTCCAACCACAGATGTATTAGATAAACCACGGGAGTGCCTGCTCGAAAATGTTAAAACTGTTTTTGAATAGACAGTGAACCTGTGAATAATAAAGGTCAACCACTTTGAGACCAAGAAGATATTTATAAAGAAAGAAATCTTCAAAAGCGCCACTGGTGGCCATATTTGATGGTAGTGAATGGGCTCAGTTAGCTGATAGCGCTGGTAATTTATTTTTAATGCCAAGGCACTCAGGTACAACACCAGCCTGGTGGTGCAGATGTGTGTTTAATATTCATCTCACTGAGCTCCACCAGCCTCTGCAGAGCATTCTGCTTTAACTCGCAGAGATTTGGAGATTTTTGAAAACAACCTGCCACCACATGAACTGTGTCCTTGCAACTAGACTATAGTTGATGTGCAATAATGCTGTGTCATGACTGACTGAGGTGTCATTTGGTGATTGTTTGAATAGACTTGTTTTTGCAACAAACTATTATACAGCGGTCTATAGCAATGACCCGTACAAGCAAAGACCTTGTCTAAACTTTGACCTTGATTTGTGACCTTGACCTTGGAGCTGGGGTGATGAAACGTATATTCGACACTGATGCATATGTGAATCAAGTTTTATTAAATTATCTTGAGCAGATCAGAAGTTATGGGCGTGACCGAGAGTGCAGCCGGAGGTAGAGAGCTGAAATCATGACATTCTGTGCTCTTTTATAGCATTTAGAGTTTAGAAACTTTGTTTAGAATATTGCAAGAGTGTGGGAAGTATTTACAATGACTTTACACATATATATACCTGTATATATGAGAGTTTACCACTCTGCGCATGTCAGTACTTCTGTTCAGAACCAAAGCCCGCTGCATGTAAACGCTCGTCATGAACGGATTGTGCCCATGTAAACGATACATTTGAATGATTTAATCCGAAAACATTTCAATCCGCTCAAAGAAGTTTGCACATGTAAACATAGCTTCTGACTGAGGCCTGAAGTTATTTGTCAAGAACTCCAAAAAATGTACAGGACGAAGAGGAAGATGCAGAAGTTTAAGGATGTTTGGTGGCGATAGACAAACAGTGAGAGTGGGAGTGAGTGATGAGATTTGTTATATTTAGCCTGTTTGGATTTTATAGTTAGGGTGTGATGTAGAGTGTTTAGTGTATTGTTTAGTCAGTTTCAGTGTTGGAGTCAAAACAATGAGGTGGTTTTTGAAAGAGAATTTGAAGCTTCTGTTCTGAAGCTGCAGCTTCTGTTTGAGGAGGGGGATGGAGCCGTGGACCCAGACATGGACGAGTCAGAACCGTCTCAGACAGAAGAGGCAGAGCCGACAAAGAAAAACAGAGTCCGAGACAGAGGGAGGACTTTGATGAGGAAGTGGGAGATCCATTGTTTGTTTTAGAAGAGGAAAGAGAGGAAGAGCGCACTGAGGGCCACACTCCTGCCTGTACCAATCCCTGGCGTGACGTCCTCAGTCTTCAGTAGTCATCGGCCGTGTGCTCTGGTGTTTCCTCGATTGGTTTGTTAGTTTAAGCTTTAATGAACACGTGCATGGCCTGAATGTGTAAAAACACACGAGCATCGTATTCGACGAGAGCATTTGGAACTAGAACGGTGGGTGGATGCTTTATTATTTTTATACTGTTGCATTTATTGTTGTTAAATTATGTTTTTTTGAAAATGTATTTCTTTCTTCTTTTTCAGGATTTTGTTAATAAGTTTCTCCTGGTGAAATGAAGGATATAAAAATGTTTATAGCTTGTGCGTCTGTGGAGAGGTTTAAATCTTCGCTCAAAACTCGTTTTTTCTTCCTTGGTGTTTGATCCGTACAAGTTTGAGAACCAGTTATACCTGATTTTTATTGTTGTTGTTGTTGTATTTCATTGTTAACTTTTTAGTTTTTCCAGAGTGGCACAAGATGTATTTGTTTTTTGTTCTTTTTGTTTTCATTTTAATTTTACTAAATTGTAAAGCACTTTGGTCATCTTTTGGTGTTTGTACGTGCCAAATAAATAAATTGACATTGTGTGTGCAGCAACAACACAGAGAATATATAAGTGTGTGTGTGTGTGTGTGTGTGTGTACCTGAGCAGTGAGGCAGCGGACTGCTCCAGTGACCATTCAGCTGACAGGTGAGTGATGATTCTCCGATAAGTTGATGGTCTCCGAGACAGGAGTAACGCGTGGTGGATCCAAATGTAAACTTGTCTCCAGTCATTAGCGTGTGAGGCGGGGTGCCTGGGTGGCCGCAGTCCACCTCTGGGTGAAAGAGCAAAAAGAGTTTCTCGTGAACGAATTAATCTTTTGTTTCTACGAGCTCCAACAGACCAGACTGCCTCTGTGACATCACATTTATAGTTTCAATTAGAAATGCACGCTCAGTTTTAAAAAAGCCTTTAACACTAAATAGAAACATTGAATAAACTTCGTGTTTCTCTTCTTATTCTTACAAATTTATTTCTTTTTATTAAAGTACGTACCATGCAGGGTAGGTTTAATGATGTTCTGTCAAATTGTTCATGTCCAATAAACTCCTGTGAACTTTGAATTACATCAAGAGATTTTAAATCGAAAGAGCAATTTGAGCACATTTTCATACGAGACGATTAGATTTGTAGTCCAAACCGTTGAGTTCTCTGGGAATTAAAGCGATTTATTCCTGAGGCTGTTCATGTTATTAAATTGTCAAGTTGAAGCTTTGATTCGAGTTGGATTACATTAATATCAAGATAATAAGTTGGAGAAAAAGTACTTTAATAAAATGATCATCCTATTTTTAACATTCATTTACATGTATAGATAAACTGTTGTTTGTTAAATACTGTGAATATTAGAACAGTTTACTATTAGCTTTAAATCTTATGCTTATTGCATTTCTAAGGGTCATCTGAAACATTATTTGAAGGAATATGGTGCTAAACCTCTAATCGTGGTTAATGTGTATGTACATTTTTATTAATCTATTTTATTGTAGTTTTATTTTATATGCACTTTTCGAATTTAGCTAGTGCATGTGTGATAGTTTTTTTTTCTTATGCATTATACTTGATCCTATTTGTTTTTATGTGTTTTACCATCAACCGTGTTGTTGGGGAGTGGTGGCGCAGAGGTTAGAGAAGGTGGGCCTGTGATCGGAAGATTGCTGGTTCAAGCCCCGGTACCAACAACATCAAAAATGTGGGTGGAGTAGGTGAAGCACCCACACCTGCCCCCCACCCTCATTCGTCCCACTCTGGGCCCTTGAGCAAGGCCCTTAACCCCCACCATCTGCTCCTCCAGGCGTCCTAGATAGCAGCTCTCTGCTCCACACAGAGGGCTGTGGTAGCTCGGTGTCTGTGGTTGTGTCAGGAAGGACATCCGGCGTAAAAATAACTGACAAGTCTTCGTGCGACCCCTAACGCAGGGAGCAGCCGAAAGAAGGAAAAAAAAAACATCAGCCTCCCTGAAACTACAGGTGAAAATGAGCCCGCGAGGCTCATTCAGGTATATTTTCAGGGTAAACCCATGTTGAGTAACATGCACTGTCCCTTTTACAAGTAAAAAATACTAACTGGACAAGAACAAGTGTAACCAGACACATTTAAGAACTATAACACTCTGAGGCAAACAGATGAGCAGATAAAAACTTCAGCTGTTTGGTTGGTGATCCTTTTAGTGTTTGTTCTGAAAGTCTATTCTTCAACATTTGTATCCCAGCTAGGCCAGACTGAGACCAGTCACTGATGCAGACTGGTGGGTCTTTATCATGTTCACCCTGAAAACCTCCCTGGTTGCCTTGAATCATTCATTTATGGTCATACTCCGAACAAATGTTGACCTATTACTGCATGAGAAGTGTTTGGTCCTGTAATACATCTGCAGGTATTTTTACAGAAAGAAGTTTATTGCTATTCCAATACATCTTAAAACTTCATTTAAACCCACTGTTCATGTTTAATTGATTTATTTCAGTATTTTTGGATCACCTCAGACTCTTCTCTGTTTTGAGGCTCTTTAGGAATTTTATCAATTCCTCCTAAAGCCGTGGTTGTAAAGTGAGAGTTAATTATTCTCGTTATGTGTGCTCCTTGTTCTGTTGAGCTTTTTGTATGTGAGTTCTACTTATTCTTCAGCAACAAAACTAAGTTAAAAAACTCACAACTTCTTTAAAAAAATCTAACAACTACAAGTCTGCTTATCTTTTTTTAATCCTTTCAAATTAAATAAAGTGTAGTGTGTGTTAAGACAACTCCCATGTCATGTTTTGTGATGAAACATCAAAGCTGCTTTATTGTAATATCATTTGTCTTTATCAAAGTGAATACACTGAAACACAAAATGTAAAAAATGTTGCCTGAGTAAAAGTCACTGTGTGACATTTAAAGTGCACCTTTATAAAATGTCTCAAATCTTTTCAGGCCTAAAACTGTACAAAGTACAACATATTATTTGCAACTCTGTTAACTAGAACATTTTTGAGCTTTTTAAAACTTATTTCTGCTAATTTCAGCTTGTTATGCTCGTTTCAGCTTATTTATGCGTTTCAGACTTTTATACAATTTCAGCTACTATTTAGCTGTTTTTTAAATTTTTATTCATTTTGTCCTTTTTTTTCTTTACAAATTTTAGCTTTTTACTGATAATTCCACACTTTTTGCACTCATTTCAACTTTTTCAGCCTATTTCATCAAAAATGTGCTCTCACCACTTCTTTCTGGTAATTTAAACTTCTTTATGATTTTATGTAGCTAGTTTTCAGGGTTTTTTTTTTTCCTCGCAAATTTCTGCTTTGTTCAGATATTTCCACTTTTTTGTGCTCATTTCGGTTTCTTTCAGTCTAATTGGGCAAACATGTTTTTTCTGCTTTCTTAACCTAATTTAAGTTTCTTCTATGTTTTCAGCTAGTGTTTTTTTTATTTTAATTTTTTTTATCATTTATAGCTAATATAAGCTGTTTTCAGATAAATTCAAGTTTTTCATGGTACAAAGTAGTTTCTGCTACTTTCAGCCTAACTAACCTTTTTCTGCTAATTTCCACTCCTTTCAATTTATTTCTGCTACTTTCAGCTTTTTCTGCAATTTCAGCTACTATTAAGCAGTTTTTATGCTAATTTGATCTTTAATGGTTAATTCCACATTTTTGGGGTTCATTTCAGCTCTTTTTGCTTCCTTTTCATAGTTTAAGCTTCTTTATGCCTTTTCAACTACTTTTCAGTTTATTTCAGTTTTTTTTAATCAAATTTCCTTATTTTTATGCTAATTTCTTCTTATTTAAACCTAATTCAGCAAACGTGTGATCTTTCTGCTGTCTTCTACTAACTTAGGATTGTTCTTACATTTCAGCTACATTTCAGCATTTTTTTAAGCTAATTTCAGCTGTTTTTCAGCAAGTTCTTCTGCAATAAGCATTCACACTGCATTTTTTTTCTCTAGTTCTTGTATGTATGGCTTCTCTACTAAAACAAATTAAAAAAGTAATAGTGAAGTATTTGTTATTTTGCTCTTTACAATAACAACAAGGTTGATTCTATGAGGTTGATGTGATAAATATTTTATTAATTCATGGGCATTTTGTGTAAATTCTCAAACACTACCTAAATTTTACGACTTATAAATATTACTGTAATGGTTGAACATTAGCTTTGGTATTTCTGATCAGATTTATGATTATTATCACTATAAAGGTGCCAACATTCAATGTAAAACAAGCAGTTTCAACACTCGTGTTTTATTGTCATTTTTCAAATTGAACAACTTACTGCTTAACTCCAACTACTTTACTGAAACTTTATATTGTTTGACTGCATATGTTTATTTGCATTTTTGTCTATATTGTTATTTTCTCACATAAGTTTATTACTAAAAGTCATTTTAATTTTGAAAATGCTCGATACTACCAAGCTGTCACTGATGCCTGAAGCAGTTTATAAACATGTGAGACAGACACTCCTGTGTATCTCTTTAATTATTATCTCATTTGATAAAATAAATGACGCGCATCATTTCTCTACCATGAAATTAACTTCTTTCTGAGCCTGTGTTGAGGTTTGCGTTAGATGATTTCAGCAGAAATAGGTCATTATTGTTGGCAGACTCATACATAAGCAGAATCTACAATGAAGCAGGTGTATGGGAGCCTGCAGTTCACACAACATGGCAGTTGTTATAATCTAAGTGCTTAGTGCTGAAGGGACATTAGCTTGATCCTGAGATACTGGTGCAGCTGAAACTAAAACATGGGCACAAGCCTCTGAGAGTTCACATATTGTAGATACAGCCACAATATTTAGAAATTTAAACCATTAAATTATGAAACACAAAAAGTTTGCCACAATACATTGTGAAAGATGTTTTTCCTTATGCATCTCTTGCTAATGCAAGAGACTAATGAACCAGTGTAAAATATCATTTAATCAGACAAAACAAAATGTACTGTGAGAGTATTAGCAGGGTGAGATTAGAAGTTTTCCCCGTACCGATGCACTCTGGAAGAGGTTTGTCCCAGTGGCCCATTGGTTGGCAGCTCAGCACCGATGAGCCGAACAGATAATGTCCGGGGTTACAGTCATAGAACACCACGCTGCCGAATGTGAAGTTCCCATGTTCAATCTTACTCTCCCGGATGGAGTTGGCAGGAATACCTGGATCTGTGCAGTTAACCACTATAGGAAATAAAGAAATGAAGAAAAAAGAATCACTTGTTAAGCCTAAAAACAAGCACACATATGACCATTGACAAACCATTATACAGTAATCTATAGGAATGGCTTTTTTTCTTTTCATTCAACCTTTATTTATAGGATCTGTTTCTGAAAAAGAAACCCAGTTTAACTTTCAGTTTCTTTACTAGGTTTTCCACATGGAGCTTAAAAGAGAGATGTGAGTCGACCAAGATACCCAAATATTTATAGGAATCAACAAACTCAATCGGGACACCATTTGAGGATAAAATCGGAGGAAGAACTGCTGGGACCGACTTCCTGTTTGAAAAAAAGCATCCCTTTGGTTTTGTCAGCATTTAGGACAAGTTTGAGGAGGAACAAATCAGACTGGATGATGTTGAATGCAGATTGCAAAAGCTGGAAAGCCTTATCAACTGTTTTAGCTCGACACTAAACAACTGTGTCATCAGCATAGACATGTATGGATGCATCAGGGATGTTTTTACCCACATTACCTATGTAGATTGTAAAGAGGGTGCGTCCTAAGACTGAGCCTTGTGGTACACCATTGTTGACTGTTAAATAACTGGAGAAAGTATCATTATGTTGAACACATTGCCTCCGGTCTGAGAAATAGTTAGAGAACCAACCAATGGTGTGTTCTGAGAAACCAATTTCTGAGAGTTTATGACACAAGATGTTATGATCCACAGCGTCAAAAGCTTTAGACAGGTCTAAGAAAAGTGCAGCACAATAATCCTTAGCATCCAGTGCTTCAACAACGTCATGAACAACGTCATGGCTTGAACAAACAAAGACCTTGTATAACCTTTGACCTTGATTTGTGTCCTTGACTGTGATGGGACCCTTATAGGCATATATTCTTTAATTTCTTCTAATGTTTGAAGTGTCCTTGTAAAGCAGTAAATTTCTACTGAGACTGAAATTTGTTATCACAGCTGTAGCCATAGTCAAAGCAAGTTCTGTTGGCGTAAGGTTTGTGTTGGGAGCTTTTCTCTGAGACCTTGGATCAGTGGCGCCACACACCCCAATCTTGGTTCAGTCCAACCGAACCGAGATGTTGCTGATTAGCTCCCCTGCAAGTTTATAAATATCTCGGCAGCGAGACTGATCCACGCGCTCTCCTGCTGACTGCTGAGACACTCTGTGAGACCTGTGCCTTGTTTATTGCAATAAACAAATTCAAAGACCATTTTTGAAGACATCTTTAATTTCACCAGTTTCTGTGCTGAAGCAATATAGAGCAGAAAAATCCTCAAAACAGTTTTGGTGTCACGAACCAAGGACCTCTGCCAGTTTGTCAGCACAGGTCCAGCATCAGCAGAGTGAGTGAGGGCCGACGTGTTTGGGGTCGTTCAGGCTGACTGCACGTGTCCTGGGACCTGTCTGCACAGAATTGATAATTATCATCTAAATTACTCATACTGGCATAACTGTGAGGAAGTTATTTATATAAAGATTGTACATCTATTCCAATCATAAAAGGGGACTTCAGCAAGTTTGTAAGACTAGACCAGGTCCAAAGGACTTGTCAGAGGTGGTCAGATCCCTTTTTGAAGTAAGGAGCTCTTATAGATAGACTCCTGAGTGTACGGACTTTAGGTCTCGAGAGCAGGGGAGGTACGTACAGCCTCCCCTTGGTAGGAAGTTGTGATTATACACTTCAGAGTGTAGAAGCTTTACACTGTTTTTTTTAATTTTTTTTTACCTTTGAGTGTAAGGGCCAGAGGGTCCTGAAAAAATGGGAGGACAGACATCCTGAGGTGTAGGAAGTTGGAATAAATGTTTTAGAAAATGAAGGAAAAAGAAAAATGACCCAAAGATAAGAGACAGGGGAAGATGGACGGGTGTCAGAGTACAAATGTGGTCTCCTGAAGGTCCCTGGTTTTAATCACAATACAAGCTCTGTCAGTCTTGCAGCTGGAGTGATGAAAAGTGTATGTGACACTCTGTCTAGTAACGATACGTGTGTATGAAGTTTTGTGAAGTTATCTTGTGTGAAATGGAAGTTTTTGTCTGGACAAGTACGTAGATACAGACAGACTATACAATAAATGATGTGCTTTTAGATGGGCATATATAAAAGCAGGAAAATACTGCTAGTAGTATTAGTAGTAGATGAAATATATTTATATTTATTTTTTTAAACAAAGAAGGTTTAGCCAAACTGCAGTGTCATGATTAAAAATAAAAGCCCCCTTGCCCTTTTCTTAGCTCTCCCTTTGCTCAGAGTGAGGCTGATCATAGACTCCAGGATTCATATGTTCTGCTGTTTTTAAAAAGTAGAACATGTTCCTGTTTATTTTCCCCAAAACTTCTGTTTGTTGCAGTTTTTCAGAAAAGTGAAAATGATTTGCATATGCGCAGGACAGTGAGAGTGAGTCAAAAGGAATATTCACTAATTTGTTATATTTCCAAGCTCGACTTATAAAAATGTATCACCTCTGTCCGTGTGGTACTTCCTGTAAGGCAGGAATTACTTTAAATCAAATAAAGTATATGTTGATATAATGTGAGGAAAAGGATCACGCAATTTCAGGTGAACTAGGACACTCCATATATTTCATTAGAATTTTTTTTGACAGATTACTTTAATTATTCATGAGTTTCTTAGTACAGTATATACCTGCATTACATCAACTCTGTCTTGTTGTTGTATAAAGCATGTTTGTATAGGTAACCTGTCAGGAATTATTTCACTTTAACATGAGACTGAGGAAATATAACAAACCCCCCCCCCCCCCCACACACACACACACACACACACACATTAGTTATGTGGTAATCTGCCCAATTCCCTCCATGCGATCACATCGCAGGGGATGCTTCCTGGAAGCTGTTCTCTCTCTTTGCTTGGAGCCTCATTTACATAAATGTTATCTGTCAGCATGTTCACCAGTGAGACAATAATAGAACTGCTGACATGACCTAAACAGTGGCGTTTTGTTTGTATTCTACAAACAGGAAGTGAGCCCGAGCTATATTAAGCTCCATCAATAATAGCAGCACTTCATGCTGCCGTCTGAAAACCAAAGGCGCATCCGTTGTCAGAGAAACATCTATTTTAGAAGCAGCTGAAGTCTTTAAAAGCCCACCACTGACAAGGTGGTTCAGATGAAATCAGATGAGGGTGAAATTAGATTCAAAGTGACAACAAATTAAATCAATACTGCAAATGCATGACAAATCGAGGCTTAATGTGAGAAAATGTTTGCAGGAACAACATGTTTTGACAAAGAGTCATGACAGTTTCATGTGATCCCGCTCCTTTGAGCCTTCAACGGGTCTGTCTCTGCAATAAAAACTGTAGACCCCAATATAAACTGTAGATGACAACTATATTTATTTCATGAGGAGACATATTTTTAAATATAAAGTGTGACAAGCAAGCTCTGCTTCACATGATCCAGAGGCAACATACCAATCAAAGCAAGCAGTACACCATTGTCATCCTTGTATGTTCCCATACAAAGACAAAATTAGTTCTGTGCATTTAACCCGGCACACCTGAGATACACCCAGGTGGAGCAGTCGGTAGCTATGTAAGCGCCCGGGGAGCAATTAGGGATTAGATGTCTTGAATAGTGAATCTTTGTAGTTTTTAGTGTTTTTCTGGACAGGAACTGAACATGGAATACAGATAATCCTTAATAGTTTTGGTGCAGGATATTCCAGTGGGGAGGAGTTACATGGTGGAGTAGAACAGAGTGTTTTTTTTGTTATTACTTATCTTACGAAGTGCAGAGTGACGGATTCAGGCAAATGAAGGGAACACTTTTATTCACCACCATGTGTAACGGTGGAGCCAGACGGTGGCCAAAGGTGGCCTGGGCCAACATAGCTAAATTTTTATCCACCCCAATCATTTGAGGAAATATACTTTGAAGCAGTGTAAAAACTAAACAGGATAGTTTCCTCCAATGATCAGGGTGGTCAGTTTACATTAATATATATGGCAGTCAGTCCTCTTTAATTTTGATGTAGCAACCCAATTTTTGAAAGGAACTTTTCTTAGACTTCGATGCAGTCACATGTCAAAATGGAAGTCAGGACCTCACTTTTTTCTCAAGTTATCTTGTGCACAACATGGACAGCTGGACAGTGAGATGGACAGACAGATTGACAGAGGGAATTTCCAATTCCACCTCTTCGCTCTGCGATGGGGGACAATAAGTGTTGCAAATCTAGCTCTGCTTCCCATGACCCAGAGGCAGTATACCAATCGAAATCAAGCACTCAATATTAATTTGAAGTAATTTCCAGATTATTATATAATAACAACTAATTCATGATCTAACGTATGTCTTCAATATGTTTTCAACCAGATAACATAGTAAAACAGTTTGTATTTGAATGTTTCCTTTGTATTATTGCATTTAAAGACAGCATTTTAAAACACAATAAACCATCATGGATCATGTTACTTTGCTTTGGAGTATAACAGTATGAAATTATGTTTTAATCTTGAGTGATTATACAAAAATGTGATATTTGAAATGCAGCAGTAATGAGCTAAATCTGCACAAACTGCAACAAAAATGAAAATAAAGCCCCCCCAAACATAATTACTACAATGTATTCAACGGCACATCCCCCCTCGTTACATCCACTATAAATTCATTATTGCTTCTCTCTATTTCTGAAGTGAAGGCTCCATATGCTGTTGCTTTGTCTAGAAAAATCAAAGCAGGTAAAGACCATTATCATTAAATGTGTGGGCATGTACCTTGTTTTGTCACATGTTTTCTTTATTTAGTCGTACATATACACAAATAAATCAGTTTTTTCTTGTATGCTTATTCCTCAGCAAGCTGGCGGTTGCTGGCGGCTGATTCCTGAGTGATTCTGACACATCTGCTGGATGTTGGATTCTTGTAGTCATCCTAGCTTCAGATAACTGGAAAGCCTTTTTTGTTCTGTTCCAGCACCTTGGCTGGATCCTATTTTTGCTATCTGGCAGCTACCGGCTCTCCTTTTGGCAAGCCTTTTTCAGAGGAAGAAGAATGAGATAAAAGTGCTCTTTGTTATGGGGGTTAAAAAAAAAAAAAGTCACAGTGACACAATGCTTTTTTAGAAATGCAATCTGTTGACTGATCAATGAAATGCTTAAAAATGTAAAGCATCTCATGCATCAAAGGTCTGGATTTATTATTTTTTTTAATGTTTTGACATCTGTTTGTTTTGACTCTGGGATCCCAGCAGTACATATGGCGAGGTAACTGAGGTCAACTATCAAGGTGCGTCTGTGTCCCTCCGCTGCCCAAAGGCTGTCAGAACGACAGCTATTTATACATTCTGCAGGTGCTCAGTGGCAGGAACCGTACCTCTGCATGTCGGAGGCTGCTGGCTCCATTGGCGGTTGGCCTGGCACTGAGCAGTGGAGGGCCCCTCCAGGGTGTAGCCTTTGTTGCAGGAGAAGCGCACAACATCATTGTAGTTGAAGCCATCGCCTGTGGTACGGCCATAGATGGGGCTGCCAGGGTGGCCACATGTGACGGCTAAGTCGAAGCACATCAAGCAAGTACGTGAGGGAAGGAGGAGGCAGAAAGGTCAGGACGTGAAAGGCAGCAGAGGAGGGATGCACAGACAGGTTGGAGGGGAGAGAAACATACAGAGAAAAGCCAACAATGATTGAGGTGACACAAAGTGCCAACTATCATAGTCATTAACATATAATTAAACCCTGAAGGTAATGAGAGAGGGAGAATTCAGGACATGAGCCTGATCGGTAAAGGCTAGATTGCACATTTCAGCTCATTAACAGGTGAACAGGAGGTTGAGGAAAACTACAAGTCAGGCATCAATTAGTGATTTTAGAGTTTGCAAACTAAAAGATAAAGATTTTCACAAGCTTCTTCCCTCTTCTTTCCTTTTGAACTTTGAATACATACGCAAGTGACCACAAAAAAAAACAAAAAAACAATCTCATTGCCTTTTCTGTAAATCAAACATTGGCACAACACAAAGGCCATATTTGCACTACTTCCAGAATTATTTTTCTTCAGCTTGTTTACAAAAATCTTTGTCCAGATGGCAAGCAAAAGTATAAATAAAGAAATGCCCGTACCAGTAGGTGACAAGAACGCCCACATTAACAGCACATTGGCCTAAAAATGATCCCAAAACAATTTAATATTTTATTTCATAAATTATTTACAATTTTCCTCTCAGTTCTTAACCAGTTCAGCAAATGATAATCAGAATCAGGATAAATTAGGACAGGTATAGAAGAAAAAACAAGTAAAAACAACTATTGTTGTTATTTTCAGGTCACAACGCTACTGAGCATGCATGAAACAGGCAGCAACAATATTTATCACTTTTTAATCTCAAATCCATACGGCACACCAAAACAAGTTTTAAAGATGTCCACATTGTAAAGTGTTCTGAATAGTTGTTTACACTATAATTCTTCTTTGCATTTAGATAAAGTGTGCCTTAAAAAAAAAAAAAAAGCATTCAGCTTGTTGTAAATGGGTCATATAGAATATTTCTGCTGTCGTTTGGAACCAGAGAGAGGTTGAGAAGGGACAGTAAAGTACTTACAGATGCAGACTGGGAGGAATCCAGACCAGGTGTGGTCCTGCTGACAGATCCGTACGGAGGACCCAATGAGTCTAAACCCAGGGTTGCATTGGTAGACCACCGTGTCTCTGTAGCCAAAGTTTTCCCCGATTACCTGCCCGTTCACAATTAGCTCTGGAACGCCGCAGTGACCAGCTGTAAAGAAGTGAGAAAAGACAATGAACAAACTTTATGGTTCTTTCTTCAGGGTTCCTATGAACAAGCGATACGCTGATTTCCTCCGTCGCTGTGGGATTTGAAAAGTGAATGTTTTTAGTTTTTAATGTTTTTCTGGACTGGAATTGAACAGAGAAAGTAAGAAAATCCTAATGTTTTTGGTGCAACATATTCAAATGGGTCGGAGTTACACTGTGCACAACAGAGGTAGTTTTAATTGCATATTTTATATTTTACTTGTCCTAGGCAGCACAGAGTGACAGATTCAGGCGAGTGGAGGGAGCAATTTTATCCACCAGCAGGTGCAATGGTGGAGCCATGGGGTAACCAGTGGTGGCCTTGGCCCCTATAGGGGTAGCTGTGTCTGAATGGTTAGAGCGGTCGTCCTCCAATGGGAGAGTTGAGGGTTCAATTCCACCAGCAGTCACATGTTGAAGTGTCCCTGGGCAAGACACTGAACCCCTCACTGCTTCCAATGTGTGTCCCATTGGTGGACAAATGTGAACTAAAGCACTGATTAGTCTCCACAGTTTCAGATTAGCGTTGTAGTGATATAGTAGAGTGCTGTATGAATGAGTAAATGAGGGCACAGATTTGTAGTGTCAAGCACTTTGTGTGTCTTGATAAAATAGAAAGGAGCTTTATAAGTACAGTCCATTTGCATGCATGTATTAACCTATGGATTCCTAGTGTGGTTCTCCAGCTGCACTAAGGCAGAGCAGCAGGCTCCCAGTGGGCGCTAAAACAGTTGGGAAGATCATTGGGATTACCCTCCCAGAGATCAGAACAATCTATACAACTCGCTGTTTGTGATGAGTCAACAACATCCTGCAGGACAGGTACCATCCTGCACATGGCCGATTCCATCTGTTACCCTCAGGCAGAAGGTAGCAGTCTATAGGTGCTAGGACCACCAGAATGGCTCATGGACTGTACCCACAGGTTGTGAGACTGTTAAATGAACAGTATCTCTCTGTGTGACCCCACCCATTATCCTTACGTCTCATCATGACAATAACTGTGAAATGGATATTACATTGCTGCAGCAACTAAGTACTATCCATTCAACATCTGACTGTCTACAGTTCTCCCTTCATCTATCCTGCCCTGTATTATTATGTGTTTACACTGATCATCAGAACCTTGCAAAGTTCTTTCGCACCACTATGTGCTAATTTATTACTGTGTAGGTGTATGATACTCCGTCAAAATTTTTATTGCTATACAGAACTGTTGTTATAGCAATGACAATAAAGTAAAGTAAAAAAGTAAAATAAAATAAATAAAAAAACCTTACCATAGATTAACCTTCAGCCACTCCATGTGCCACCTCAGTCATTTGAGGAAACAATGCTTTTAAGCAATATAAAAACCAGAAAGCATAGTTTCCTCAAATTATAGAGGTGTTATATATAGATGTGTGTGTATTGCAATCCAGTTTTCTATGGTGACTTTTCTTATGCGTAGATGTAGCAACACACCAAAATGTAAGTCAGTACCTGACTAATGTATAGTTATCCAGCTTACTAGGTGGATGGACATTTGCGGCAGCAGCCATCTTGCAATTTGACGTGTCAACCCAATTTTTGAAAATAACTTTTCTTACACCTAGATGCAGCCACACACAGAATTTTAAGTTTGTACCTAAATTTTTTTTCAAGTTCAAGATGCTCATAACATGCACAGACAGAAAGTCAAAAAAGACAGCAGGTTACAGAATTTACAATGTGATATTAAAAATATATAAAATGAAAACAAAAGCCAAAAGTGTGTAGTGCTTAGTACATGAGATACAATGCACTTGACAAAACCAAACCCAGTCTCAGTAAATCAATCATGCAGCACAATGTTCAACTTTCCATCAGTGAGAATAATGGTCTCCAGTGGTTCCCATAAAACTAATGGATAATAGCTGAAGGGTACAAATGCAATTTTGATGCCGCTGTCATGTTTAAATACAATTTTGACAATGTTTGAAAGTAAAATGAAGAGGCATGTTCTCATAAAAAGTCTAGAATTTAATGCAGGCACGTAAAAATTAGTTTATTCATGAACTGCATTGTGTTTAAAAAGCATGTTTCAGCTGAATATGTGAAACATTTTTAAATGTTTTTATCTAGCTGTGGATGTGTTTTTCAAAATCCGCGCAATAGGCTCATGCACATAACCATGGTACTTCCAGCTACAATACAAGCATTTCACAGACAAAGGATCCTGTAGAGATTTCCAATACCTTTTAAAAGCTGGGAAATTGCCTCTGACTGAGAGTCTGATTTCCCTAATTCACTCCTGCACCCAAAAACTCAGTCAAGTCTTTTAGTATGACACTCCAGTTGAGGGCTGCCTGATTCTATAAAGATAGGGCTGAAGTAGGTGTACATACCAAGAGATTCCTAGCTATGGTAACTGAGTCGGTCATGTTAGTAACAGAGCAAAGGGTGGCTCTCTTTTGATGACCTGATCAAACATTACCACACAGACAAACGAGACTGACAGGAAAACCTTCCTATTCTGCTGCTGTGTGGCTCTGAATGCAACTCGTCTCATTATACATCTCATTTTCTGCCTTTGTACAAAGCTGTGATGAGCTGCGGTAAGCTGAGCTCTTTAGAAACCCAAACATAAGCTAAAATTCCACTCATGCAGTTTTGAAAACATTCAATAGATTCAAACAAGTCGATGCTTTAAAGCTGATTTAGCTCATTTGATGTTTTACTGACAGTAAATTACATCGGCAAGCTGTGTGGCCATTCAAGTCCTGATTGAAGATAAATATTGTGTCAGGATATGTGTTTTTGGTTTATTTTTTTACTGTCTTTTGGAGTTTATTTTTATTTTAATCTCCCATTTGTGGTTATTTTGTCTGTTTTTTGTGTGTGTGTTTGCTCTGTGTCTTTGTGTATCCCCTTCATTACTTAGTTTCTGTTTCTCAATAAGATCTTGAGTGTTTTCCAGTCAACCTGCCACTCAAAGCCTACTGGTTGGCTGTCTCACTGGTCGCAGCTGCAGCCACTTCTCTCATTAGCCCTAGTCCATGTTGCTCTACACTCTTTCACTGCTCAGTGGAGCATTTTGTGTTTATACACCAGAACCAGTTCTTCGTTTACCGCCTTGAATCTTCTCATTTGTATCTGTCCATTAATTTTTGTAAGTATTTGCTGCCTGAACAGCTGTTTGCTTTGATTACAGAGTTTAGTTGTTTCCTGTCAAGGAGCGAAGAGGGGGAAATGGAAATACTGTCCATCTGTCCTTCTTGTGAGCTGAATAACTTGAAAAATATGTGAAATACTGACTGACAATTTGGTTTGTGGCCACATCGAGATGTAATAAAAGTTATTTTCAAAAATTGGCTTGTACATATACATACATACACATATATATATATATATATATATATAAAAGGGATGCAACAATCCACTTTTTTTTTTTAACTTCCGATCTTCCCAGTCCCAAAAAGCTCTACAGTGACTGGTCTGAATGACTATCGGCTAGTGGCCCTCACCCCGATAGTCGCTAAATGCTTCGAAAAACTGGTCATGACTCACATCAAAACAACCATCAACATCAACGAGGACCCTCATCAGTATGCATACCGTGAGAACCGATCAACAGAGGATGCAATCTCCTCTGTGGTCCACACTGCGCTCAACCACCTGGAGCAGAAAAACTCTTACGTCCGTATGCTCTTTGTGGACTTCACATCCGCCTTCAACACCATGATCCCCCAAACCCTGATGGACAAACTATCCACACTAGGACTAAGCCCCTCCATCTGCAACTGGGTACTAGACTTTTTAACAAACAGACCACAGTTAGTGAGGATCCACAACCTCTCCTCCTCCACCATAACCCTCAGCACTGGCTCTCCTCAGGGATGTGTGTTGAGCCCCCTCCTTTTTACTCTGCTCACATATGATTGTGCAGCTACCCATCCAGGCTGTCACATTGTAAAGTTTGCAGATGATACAGCGGTGGTGGGATGCATCACAAACAATGATGAGTCCAGCTACAGGCAGGAGGTGGAACACCTGGAGAGCTGGTGCAGAGAGAATAACCTTCACATCAATGTGAAGAAGACAAAGGAGATGATTGTGGACTTCAGAAGGAACAAAAACACCTACACCCCCCTGAACATAAGAGGATCTGCGGTGGAAGTGGTCTCCAGCTACAAGTACTTGGGTGTACACATGAATAACAACCTCAGCTGGAGCAACAACACCACCAGCCTGATCAAGAAAGCTCATCAGAGACTCTACTTCCTCAGACGGCTGAGGCGAGCTGGTCTGGGAAGCTCAGTCCTCACCTCCTTCTACAGGTGTGCAGTGGAGAGCATCCTGTGCTCCAACATCAACGTGTGGCATGGAGGCTGCACAGCTGCAGAAAGAAAAGCTTTGCAGAGAGTGGTGAAGGCTGCACAGAAATCTGTTGGAATCAGTCTCCCCACCATCACAGACATCTACACCTCCAGATGCAGGAAGAGGGCCACCTGCATCATGAAGGACCCCACCCACCCAGCACACACACTTTTTGCCCCACTCCCCTCAGGAAGGAGGTTAAGGAGCATTAAGTGTAGAACCACTAGACTGAGGAACAGCTTCTACCCTGAGGCTGTTAGACTCATGAATCTCTAACTAGAATAATCACTGTGAAAAACCATATCATGTTGCTGCTGATCTGTTTCATGTTGCTGCTGATCTGTTTCAATGTTGATGTGTTCATGCGTGCACATCTGCTCACAGACTCATGTTCATGTTTGTGCTGATGTTCAATGTTTTTATGTTATGAGTGCTTAGTGTATATTTAGTTGATGTTTTTCTTAGTTCATATCTTAGATGTTATTACTGTTTTTCTTATACATTTTATTGTTGGATGTAACTGGGACCCCGTGTACATAATTTCGCTCCACCACATGTACCACATGAGGTGCGAATGACAATAAAGAAACTCTGACTCTGACTCTGATCCCGATACCTAAATCTGGATACAACCCGATACCGATACTGATACCGACATAATCATCATCATTGTTTTTATATGAGGCTGTAATAATCTCCTCTCAAGTACAATTTGTACAAATATATGCATGCATGTACAAAAAGGCAACTTGAGGTAAGTTTTATTAATGTTGGATCAGTTTTAAAGTTACAATGAAATTCTGCTAACACAAAACGTTTTTTTTCGTAGCTTTAAAGAGGATATTAACTTGATTAATTTGATTGTTTAAAGTTATTTTATTTTTTAAACAAGTGGTGGATACAATAATTTTTTTTCTTCTTTCTGCACTCTTTTCATTCAGAGGCCCAGGGTGGTGCAAATGAGATTTGTAGCAGATGCGGATGATTCACCTTTCCCATTCTAAATTTTGTTGTAACTGTAAGGTGTTTCAAATCAGTAACCTCTTAATCTTAGGCTCGTCTTCTACTGCGTCCTGCTTAAAAATATAGTTTCCACAAATGATTGGTTGATAAAAAGAAAAGTGCAAACTTCAATTTTGTTGTGTGGCTGCATCTAGCAGCCAGAAAGGTCACCGTTGAAAATTGGGTTTCTGTGATGCGCTGAAGGTTCAATTGCTGGGAGTACCTTCTGTTCTGGACAGAGACGGCCAAGCAGAACGGTGAAGGCTGTGAGAACCATAGCTGCTTAAACTAAATCAACACCACACTATAAAACACAGGAGATCATCTAAAGACACAGAGCACCATGAAAAGTTCTGGAGAAACTAAAATATATGTTTTGAAATTTTAAGATTTCTTTTTTTTTTGGAAACATTTCTTATAGACAGAAAGATAGACTTGTTTTCAAATAATCTTAAATAGTGAGCCAAGCATTTTTTAAATATATTTATTTGGCTGAGGGGCTTTGGCCCAGTGGTAGGGAAATCATCTTCTAATCATGGGATGAGAGTTTTGATTCCCAGCCCCTGTATTACTCTGAAGTGTCCTTGGGCAAAGCACTCAATTCACCACAGACCCTGATGAGCTTATAAAAACATAAAATAAAAATTGAGTTAGAATGTACTGTTATTGCGTAGTTTATATAAAAATGTAAAATATAAAACAAAAAACACTTGGTGTGTGTGAACAGGTGAATCACAGTGTAAAGTGCTTTTCAGATTCTGGGTGAGATAAAAAGGAACTAAATGGTTTCAGTGCCGAGCCTGACTCATTGAACTGGTATATTCCCACTTTGTTTTGTAGGTGATTGTATAAGGCTTGTCTTTCCTTCATTATGCACATTGATTTAATAATTCATTAGTTTTGACATCATCTGCTTTGCATCGTTAACTAATAAGTGTGCTTGTGTCACATAGGGAAACTGTTTGTTGGTCTATTTAAGGTGTAATTGTGTTGTGAGCTGTATGCATGGAAACATCATATTCACTTGAGTGTTGCCTTAGCTAGAGCTTGGAAGGACTGCCTCTATCATTACAAACTATTTTATCTCTGTGTGTGTGTGTGTGGGGGGGGGGGGGGGGGGGGGGGGGGGGGTAGGGTAGGGTAAGGTTGGGTTGGGCAGAGAAGATCAAATTGTGATAAACCTGCTTTGCTACTGCTAATACTGCAAACATTTGAAAACTTTACATTTAAGAAACACGTTCCAATCTTCTACAGGTAGTTGTCAAAGGTGCATGAACATTTGCAAAACCAACGTTTCCTTATAATCTCTGCAGATTATATTGCATTCTCATGCGTATGAGTAAATAAATGGGACATCTGAATTAGACAACAAGAACATACATAAATAAATGAATGCACATGTTCAGAATATTTCATAGACACTGGCTTCAAACACGGCAATAGAAGCAGTGATGACCACCTACTGCTTCCCAATCTGGATCTGTTCTGTGCATGTTGGTCCAATCAGCAAAGCTCATACTCAGACTATAGCCTGCCAGCAGTTTTGACATAGGTCAAGAACATTTAAAACATTCTTACCCAAGCAGCGGGTCTCCATCCCGCTCCAAAGGCCCGACAGGAGACACTCTCTGACAGTAGACCCAGTTAGAACGTAGCCAAGGTTACAGCTGAAAATACCCGATGCTCCGAAGGTAGTTTGAGTCCCGATTTTCTTCCCATTCGGAGGCGTAGGAAGATCGCCGCAGGAAAGGACTGCAATAAGATGAAGAGAATGGTTAAAAAAAACATGGTAGGAGATGGAGGAGGCACCAGTGTAACGAGTGGGAGAACAAGAAAGAATAAAGGATGAGATGGAAGTTGGCTTACATCTCCTGAGTCAATGGGAGAGAACGGTCATTTACCGTCATCTTCCCGACCCTAATGCGATAAAAGATGACCTGTACAATTTCATGGGGAAGATAATGATGGTGTTTTCCTTTGTCCAAACATCTTTCATCACACTGGCTGGCATCTCTTTCTGCCATTACATGAGCTACTCAGCTCTTTTGCTTCTCAAAAAGCAGTTCCCATGGCAGCAGAGCAGTTTTTATGGTCTTTTTCACAATAAACAATATCTAACCCATCTGAGAGGGGAAGGAGTGAAGAGGACTAAAACACATCAGTGAACCGATGATTAAGTAAATAAGGTTTTCTTCAAGTCTTGTAATGTGCACTGTATGCTAATCTGTTGTAGCTGAAATGGAGATAGTTTATTTTCAGCAGCCCAAAGTTCAGTGTTCCTCTTTAAAATGTGTTTTATTTTTCATTCATGCTTTGTGGGATCGATGAGAGTTGCTTCTTTATCTTCTGGACCACACTAAATTTACTCACTTCTGCATCTCGGCCTCTCGTTTCTCCAGCTCCACACTCCATTGGCCAGGCACTGGATGTGAGCCGGGCCGACACGATAGTATCCGGGGTTGCATGTGAAGATTATTTTAGTCCCAAACTCGTTGTGCGACCCATTGACTATCCTCCACCGACCGTGGTCCAGAGAGAAGGAGCTAAGACTGGGACACGTCATCACTGGTAAAACAATAAAAATTAGACTGAATAACAAAGCAAATACATATTCAGCGGTCTGAAGACATTTATAGTTCTGGATCATTAAAGCAGACTTTGTGCAATGCTATTGGGGGAAATACAATTTAAATAATAAATGTTTACCCAAAACACTAAATTAATCAATTAAAATAAAATCCTTTTTTTCACAACAGCATTCTAAAACAAAATGACTTTGAAATGATGTTCCTTTTCTTTCTGAGAATCCACCGTCTGGAAGAACAAGCAGCCTCAGTAGAGAACAGAGCTGTCAATCACTCGATACATTGACTTTCACAGTTGGAGAAGTTTCACTAGAATATAAAAGTATCACCCCGGTGTGAGGCGCACATTCTCCCTCGACTATACTTCACCCTTTCATCCATCCATCTTATCGCAACACAACAAGTTAGTGCTTTTGTCATAAATATTCAACTTGTAGTCCTCGAGGATGGCACTCAACATTTCTAATGACAAGACAGTTTTGTCAAGACTTTGATACGTTACAAGCTCTCCAGCTCAGTTCAGAACTCTCATTTGTATCGTCTCCACCTACCACAATGAATTTAAAAAAAGGGTTGAGCCAGCAAGTGGAAGCAAACAGTTTAAATTTATAGTCTTCTCTGAATCTCATAAGATATAAGAACATTTTTCCTGTAAAGAAATGACTTCTTGTCATCATCTCTCCACTTCTTACTCCCTAACCATGTGTTTTCTTGCGATTACCCCTGTCTCTCTAAATCACGCTTCTTTCTCCCCGTCCTCTGCTCACCGATGCACCGAGGTATCTTGTTGTGATTGCTCCAGGTGCCGTCTGGCTGGCAGACTGTGGTCGTCAGTTCTTTGGAGGAGAGCCGGTAGCCACTGTTGCAGAAGTAGGTCACCCGTGTGCCGACGGAGTAATCAGCAGCAAGCACACCTCCGTTCACTGGCGCCGTGGGCACGCCGCACGACACAGCTGCAGACAGCAAGAGGACCATTGTTGGCACATGGCTATGCACGTTAGAAGACACATAATGAAGTCTGGTGAGTGCAGGTTAGTTTGGCGTTTAGTTTGTGAGGAAACATCAAAGTTGCTGCAGCACCCTGTCCATGTCAAGTTTGACCAGTTTTACCTTCTATGGATTACAATTTCAGAGGTAAAAAAACTCAACAGGATGTAATTGCTCTTTTCTCTCCGAGCACTCACTGCAGGATTCAGACAGCAAGCCTCATTCATGGCGAACACTTCAAGATATCACAGCAGGGACAGCTCATGTGTAATTAGCAACATTAATAACATCTGCATTGAAGTCAATTGAGTCTGTGCCAGAGTTGTGGCATTGTGCACGATACCTCAATAGAATGGCTTACTGGAGCATTAGGACCGAGTTATCACGAACAGAATGAGTTGCACCTGTCAGAAAGGCTATTTCAAAGCAGTTGCATTTCCAAGAATGACACTCGGTTTTTACACCTGCAGCTATAATAACCATGTGCTGTTTAAGACATGTTTATTATAGTTTGCCTGAATTTGACCTTAGAGTCTATAAAGCTGCTTTTAAATTAACACGTTGGAAAACCTTACATATTACATTTGGAACGAGTCAGGTGTGTGCAGGAAAGCAATATAAAATAAATCCCTGTGGTTCTTTAAATAATGTAGAATGTACTTATAAAAGGAAAAAAATTTGTAATTTGCCATTTAATTTTGATTTTCAACTACGGCAAAGGAATAGATTTTCCGGATGCATAATACAGTCTTTATATTGTTACTTTTTATTTGATGCTGTGATCTTTTTGTTAAACACTTTGGTAACAGTTTCTGTTTTAAATGTGCTATATAAATAAATCTGACTTGGCTTGACAGTCTACTGGTTTTTGTTAGCTAAAATCAATAGAGTATCTAAGTGAAAGGTTCTGTAACTGGGGTTGGTTGACTATTGTGCAGAAAAACTTGGGAGAACTTTGTGAACAACTTCTGTTATTATGTTCCTATATAAAGAGTTTATTTCCTGTAAAGTCTTTTCCGGCTCCATTACCAACATGCAACGTGCACATTTTATTGCCTGATCAGGGAATAAAGTGCATTTAATGAGAGAACAGTTATAAACTGCACCAGTCACGTTTAACAAAACATTTCACTGCTTTTAATACTCTCACAGCAAATAGCACAGAGGCTGAAGGGAAGAAAGAGGCTCAAGCTAAAACCTGCAACATTTCAATAATGTGCATTCTGTTACAATATAAAAAAAAAAACATGTGGTGAAGTCAGCAGGACAGGTAATGGAAGACCGACCAGAAGCAGCGCTGCCTGGCTTTTGTTCAGCGCGTGTGATCCACAAGAAACGCCAGAAAAAACATCACCTGCATTCCTCTGTGTTTAATGCAGGAGAACCTTCGGATCAGGTGTCCTGCAGGAAGGTTTACAGCCTGCTGTCCCCTGCTTGGACCCGATAAGCCCAATATGCTGGTAGGCCAGGTTTAAAAAAAAAAAAACTTCAGAGCTTACCTGCTGATTCTGTAACATTACTGCTATTTTATGAGCCTTTTAGTTGAGACTTGATTTTTTTGTTGCCTAAATAAAAGCTAATTGTCCTGCCAAGCAAACACATTGTCAAAATAAAGCGTGTCTGTTGCATTTTTAATTTAATAAAGAGTGGCTAAATATATTTTAGAAACCTTAACAATGTCCTACATTACATGCAGTACATGCTTTTATAGACAATTCAATTCAGTTCAGTTTATTTATATAGCGCCACCAAGTCACAGCAGAAGTCATCTCTGGGCACTGAACAGAAACATTAATATATCAAAACAATAAGTTTACACTATTTATCTGAGGAGCAGACTGCTTTGAAATTAACTCCATCACAGAAAACTCATCTTCAGCAAGCATGAAGGCGACAGTGGGAAGGAAAAACTCTGCTATAATTCAATAGAAGAACGTAAAAGTATTAAAAATGGATTGCCCCACCCAAGGGCGTCAGAAGCATCCGTAATGTGGGGGGGACACAATGATGTGTGTGTGTGTGTGTGTGCGCAACACTAGTGAACAAAAAAGCAACATTTCACCTAGATTTCCTTTAATTCCACACATTTAAAACATGTTTCTCACCAAGTTTGTGTAAATTCAGCTGTGGGTTAAAGTAATTTTAACTTTAATACACTTTAATACAGCGCGTCAGGTCGGCACTATTTGTCTTTATAGAGAAATAAGAAACCTCACCACTAAACTTTTTTTACTTGTGTTCAACACGACTCATCTAAATGATGTTTCTCATGAAGCTTGAGGACAATAAGGTGTGGGGGTTTAAAGACATTTCAACTTTAATGCACCTGAACACACAGCGTCTCTTACACCTGCAGCGCCTGACAGCGTCACAGTTACTGCTAAGAGAACATGCTACAGACATAGTGCTCCCCTTCTCTCCTCCTAACATGAATATATGTTTATGATCAACCCCCCAGTCAACAACTGCCCACACTAAGCTGCTAAACTGGCGAGCGAGGTCGGTCCATCTCCTCCACCTGTGCGTGTTTTCTGCCGAAGCAGAAAAAGACGCACAGAAACACTGCAGGTGTTACACTATATTCTGTGACCACCGTATATTGTGACCGTGGCTTGGAGGTAATCAGGAAAACCTGGAGTGTAGTTTTAGTGGTTTGAGTATTCTCCTATTAATCAAGTGGAATGGATTTGTTCACGAAGAAAGAGAAACTGCGCCGCTTGAACTAATGTTCCATAGTAAAAGTGGGGGGGTCCAAATGAACATTTTTGGAATGTGGGGGGGGACTTGTCCCCTTCACATATAATGGTTGTGACGCCTATGGCCCCACCCTACCTATAACTTGTCTGCTATGAATTTATAATTTTCAGCAGACTAAAACTCACCTCTTTTATCCTGTTTGTCTTGTAAAAGTTCTGTGAGAGCATCACTTCATTATCTTTGCACATGCTTTTAGCAATCTCCTGTTAACTCTCTATTGTTACATTCTTAGTCACATACCTGTTCCAGTTTTTTTTTGTGTGTTATCCATATATTTGATCTGTCTGATTCTGTATTTAATTGTCTGTTTTTTTATGTTATCCCTCTGCAGTCTCAACACTTCTGTTGTTGCCGTGTCTTGGCTGGGCCATCATTGAAAACGAGAATTTGTTCTCAACTCACTAACCTGGTCAAATAAAGGTCAAATAAAACATAAATCAATAAAAAAATACTTTCAACCAAACTTTTTTCTAAAGTAAGATGTTCTCACTCATTGGAAAACTAGCACAAAGCAACAGCATGAAGTAAATCTGGGTTAGCGTGACCTCAGAGCAAAGACCAAACTGAAAGCTTGACCTAGTTAGCTTGAAGGTATTTTACTTCAGTTTCAAGTAAAAGGAACTGAGAACAACTACAGAGCCCCACTAAAAGGCAACACTTCAGTCCATCTTCAAATGACTCATCAAACACAGACATCTGCCAACATGGCACGACGCCGTGGCAGCGCCCTGGACCATCTCGTGAGAAAATCAGCTGACATTTGCGAATGCTGCTTAGTAAAAATTAGTCATTGATGAAGAGCAGTAAAATATTTCCTTCACTGATCCTGGGACATGGTGATGTTAGAAATGTGCATCAACCTTAAGACGACTTGATGTAATGATAGGCGTCTAACAGATGGATATCATCAGTGTGAATAAATCAGCTCATCTGCAGCCATGGCTGAGCGTGAGCTTTGGAAAAGCTGCACCCAATTAACAAACTGATGGAATCAATTGCAGGTGTGAAATGGTTTTTAAAATTGTTGACGAAACCGCAAACACATTTTGATTCCAGTGCATTAAGATTAAATGTGACTGATTGCAGCATCTGCTGTTGCGTTTGTGCGGGCGGAAGCGGACATGAACAAATTTAACACGTGTACATGAAAGATCACGAGAAGTCCAGCAAACAGAAGCTGCATGCTAATGGTGAGTTATCCAGCGTGGAAGTGGAAAATGACAGAAGTAGAGAGGATTGGTTTCTCAGATCACACTATTGGTTGGTTCTCTAATTATCTCTTAGATCGAAGGCAATGTGCTCAACACAATTGTACTTCTTCCAGCTATCTAACTGTTAACAATGGTGTACCACAAGAAAGTCCATGCTCAA